CTGGAAAATCAACAACCGACCAGATATTCACCATGCAAGAAATCTTGGAAAAGACCCGTGAAAGGAGAATCGACWCTCACCACCTCTTCGTCGATTTCAAAGCTGCTTTCGACAGCACGAAAAGGAGCTGCTTTTATGCCACGATGTCTGAATTTGGTATCCCCGCAAAACTTATACGGCTGTGTAAGCTGACGTTGAGCAGCACCAAAAGCTCCGTAAGAATCGGGAAGGACCTCTCCGAGCCGTTCGATACCAAACGAGGTTTCAGACAAGGCGATTCCTTATCGTAGTCGCACGCACCCTCTTCTGGAGAAAATAGTTCGAGCTGCAGATATTGATATCATCGGCCTCAACACCCGCGCCTTTAGTTCTGCTTTCTCCAGACTGGACAAGGTAGCAACACAAATGGGTCTGGTCGAGGGCTAGACGAAATATCTCCTGTCATCAAACAAACAGTCGTCGCACTCGCCACTTAGCAGTCACGTTACTGTTGACAGTCATAACTTTGAAGTCGTATATAGTTTCGTCTATCTTTGAACCAGCGTAAACATCACCAACAATGTCAGCCTAGAAATCCAACGCAGGATAACTCTTGCCAACAGGTGCTACTTCGGACTGAGTAGGCAATTTATAAGCAAAGTCCTCTCTCGACAAACAAAAACCAAACTCTATAAGTCACTCATAATTCCCGTCCTGCTATATGGTGCAGAGGATTGGACGATGTCAACAACGGATGAGTCGACGTTGCAAGTTTTCGAGAGAAGATTTATGGTCCTTTGCGCGTTGGCCACGGCGAATATCGCATTCGATGGAACGATGAGCTGTACGAGATATACGACGACATTGACATAGTTCAGCGAATTAAAAGATAAGGCTGTAATCGCGTAAGCGGTGRCTGCTCCAATCAAGAAGAAGAAGTATATTACTTATTTCTTTATTAAATTAAATAAAAAAACATAAATTTTTGGGATAAAAGGGATTTCTGCGAATTTCCTTATTAKCACGTGGCAGCGYTCCATTTCGTCGTAATTTTGAGCACACAAATGGTGTTCACTACGAKTGTAAAATGCAATTTTTAAAATAAAGATTTCTTAGGTAAAAAACCTGCTAAAAGTGTAAAATGTGGATTTATTTAAAAGTTTTTAGTTTAATTTAATTAATTTGAAGAGAAAAATGTGAATAAAGTGTGTTTAATGTGGTGAAATAGCTTCYCGATATGTTCGCATTTTGGGAATTTTTGAACTTTAAGGTCGAATATCTCCTATGTAAACTAAACCTTTGCGGTACATCCTATCCTATTTTTTAATCAGGAGAACTTCCTCTTTCCAACGGTAGCTTCAAGTCGCGTCGACAAAGAAATCGGAATTGTGCCTCTAAATCATTCTTATTAGACCTGTTCGTYTTCAATTGAGAGATTCTTGCAACTGTCCAGTACAGAATTGCAAAATCGTCTCAAGTCACAAAAATTGTCTGTAATTTAAATTTCAATTTTAGAGACTTGTGACTGTATCACAGTACAGAATTTCTGTACAAGTGTACCATATCTGCGAGTATTGGCAACGAACAAAAATAAAACAACAAGAGAGATTTTGTTTTATACAAGTGTGTGTATATTATTAATGTGGAGAACTTCCCCTATCCGACCAGAGCCATTTTAACTGAATATAAGGACGGTATTTTAAAATTGGTTCGAAAGTAACAATAACCGTGCGATTCTGTACGGTGATACAGTATCAAGTCTCTAAATTTGATAGAGACAATTTTTGAGACTCGATTTTGCTATTCTGTAAGTGACAGTCACAAAATCTATTACATTTAATAATTCAGAGATGCTTTCAAACTTGGATGAAAATAAATATGTCGATAACAAAAATTAAATTTTCTATAACATAGTCAAAAAAGATAATTACCAATCAAAATAAAATTATATGTTGATTTTGTTTCATATTTTCGAAATTTTTGTAAAATTGATTTATTTTTAACCTTTTTGAGTTTGAGTTGCTTACAAAATATAAAAAAATGGCAATCGATTAATATTAATGATGATCTCTGCTCAGTATATTCAAAATGGCAGACAAGAGTTCTTTTTGGTTTTGTGACTTGCTAACTACCAGGTGTCAAATTTGAGGCAATATTTTGAGGCTAAACCTAGAGACTTTTTAGTGAATAGTAACTAGTCACAAATTGAGATTTTACCACAAAGTGTCTCAAATAGAGATTAGAGACTGCTTACAGAATCCCGCTATAAATTTATAAGTTGTACAAACTTTTATTAYATACAGAAAAAATCAACCTTGATATTTTCGAATATTCATGCAAATTTCGATGACCAATGATAATGACAGCTGATGCCAATCTTATAAAAAAAAAATAAGAGATAAGATTGAAAATTTTGTCATTTGAATTGTTGGTGTTGCGATAGGCGTTGTGGTTGCCGTAGAATCTACAAACTTTTTTGTTTTTAATAAAGAAAAACGCACTTTCTGCAATATATTTTCCAAACGTGAATGTTTGCAGAAGTAAATATAAATACAAACCAATGGGAAATTCAAACTCCAGGAGTGACTCCGGAAGTGATGCGCCGAATGGAGGGTCAGGTGGTGCTAAGGAAAAACCCCCCAGATCCACGCAAACTATTCCTATAGGTGATGGAAATTCAATTATTAATAATAATGCTATGTTAAAAGCAGAGCGATCCCTGAGCAGATCTGCATCAGGTGCGGATGTTACGGAGAAGTACTTAACTCAGCTCGTGCCTATAGAAAAATTATCCGAAATTCTCAAAGAAAAGTCTGCTAAGCACGGAGTCAATGGCATTGTTTCAGACGTGTTTGTRGTGAGTAATATTTTTTTTTCCTTATCACACTATTTTGTGACATTAAGACATTGTGTCACTTTTTACAGTCACAAGTTTTTCCACAATATGCTGATTTAGGCAAAAGATTATTTCGCCTAATGCATTTAGCGTCGAAAGCTAGAACTGCTTATTTAGGTACAGTGGCATTCCGCCAGCAATGCGAACGTTTTCTTGGTATAATGGATGATGAAAAAATTTTAGAGTGTTATATAAAAATGTACGCGGAGGAAGACAATCCAGACTTCATTACAAAGGAGGGTGTTACACGTTTACTTTTCATTTGCTACACAATAGCTATGCAGCATTCAGGCAACGCAGTTCTCTGTCCAGCAGTATGTAACTCTTAAGCTTTCACCTTCAAAATWTCAATAATATTTTTATTTTAGATTAACCGAACATTTGGTTCGGTGACTAAATCAATATTTTTTAGCCACGACATCCTTAGTSTTGGTTTTGTTTGTCGTTGGTTTGAACAGAACCTTATTCGTTTAGTATTGTTGGTGCACAAATACTGTTTACACACATTGTCAACTTCWTATAGAGGTCTCGAACAACAAACTCAATCATGCGGAATAGAACTTCAAACACCAGTTTTAGAACAACGAAATCCATTCCCGGATGCAGGTAGTAAGGATGCTGGTGTATCGATCTTTGAATCTTTAATGCCGTTATCTCAGGCATGGTTATTGGCTGGAGGACTACCTCCCCTATATTCTAAGCCACAGACGATACAATCACCAAATTCCAATAAATCATCTGCAGCTCAAATCTTTAAAGAGAAACTTTCTATGATGCCCTCGCATTGGACTTTACTGTATGACTCAAATGAACATGGTTTAGGCGCTAATCGCTTTTTGCATCACGTGCTTGGTTATCGCGGCCCAACGCTTGTATTGATACATACCAAGGACGATCAGACATATTGCATCGCTGCGCCAAGTGAATGGAAAGAAACTCATTTATATACAGGAGGCGAAGGCAGTTGTATAATCCAACTTTTTCCAAAGTGAGCATTTATTGTATTTATTTCAAAAGTCTAGACAAATTGTAAACATACTTTAATTTAAGATTTGTGATATTGGAGAAAAAGCCTAACATTTTATACTTAAATACAAGCATACGTGGTTATCCAAAGGGGCTTCGCGCCGGTTCAGATCCACGTAAACCTGTTATCGCTGTGGACGAACACTTCGAAAATGTGGATTGCAAAGGATTAGCTGCTGTGCTAACTGCTATTGAGGTCAGTATAAATTAGATTAGACTGAGAATTGAGGAAATCACTGCGACCTGTTGTCTATTGTGACATCTCCTGTTATTGCAATACCTTTGATTGACCCAGTTATATCAAAGAGGCTTTTTAAAGCACCTGGGTTAATGGTTGTAGTAGAAACTTACATAACTCAATTTAAACAAAATTTAAGTCATCCTCATTATATATTTTTTGTTGAACGGGATCGTCCTTCCAGAACTTTAAAATTTTTATCAACTTTATTGATAATGGTCCCTTGGATCCTTGTTTCCAAATAGGAATYACATCTCTTTGCTGGCACCCAGCAGAATATTGGACTTTATCAATATGCTGATGCTATGTGAGTCTTAGTGATTTAAGAGAGACCTGAGGTCGTGGTGCAAGTAGGAAGTCGAATGTAGTCTACATCTCTGTATCACAACTTCATTAATATTTCCAAAAAATTTGCGTTGTGAAATATGTCCCTCTTTGTTATTTGAAAATCCTACATCGTTTTGAAATATTATATGTTATTCGATATTTTCATCAAATAATTTTTGAATTTGGCCAACTGAAAGATGTTATATGTCGCTAATAATATGATGATTTTCTGAACTCAAAAATACACAATCTTACAATGAAATATWTTTTCATTCATGTTATTAGTTTAAATAATCCACTAATAATGGAAATTTAAGTAAAATATTTCAGTTATATCGATAAAACGTAATTCTTTTATTTTACTTATTTTATACATGTGAATGTAATATAATAAATACAGGCAAGAGTGGAATGGAATTTCAGAGTAACGGGATAATACATATAGGAGTAACAAGAATTTTTTGGGTTAATATGCTTATGTACAATGCATACAAAGTTATAGTAAGAATGACACACCTGCCGTGTATAAAATATACATACGAATGCAGGTGTGACGTCGACAAAATTAGGAAATTTTGTTTGTATATAAGTAGAAAGGTGAAGCAATGACCGTACACGMACTCTTATTATCTATGCAATTTGATCATTCTCTGTTTTAATGAATTTCTTAACAGGTATGGGGCTGCGGTGACAAGGCATCACGTGATGTGCAATTGGATATTAAGAAATGGCAAATCAAGGAAGCTGAACGGCAACGGACTGTAAARTTAACTGCAGCTGATTGGATGGATCATCCTGATCGCTACCTATTAGAGCTAGGCGGCCGCACAAATTACAATAATTGATAAATATACACCTTTTGTTGATGAATGCGGAATTTTTCGTGCCTTTAACCACTGGCGTTAGYAATAGTTATTAACAACAAAATTTATACGAGTTGTGTTTCGCATATTTATAATGTTTGGGTAATTTAAAACCTTAAAGCAGAAAAGACTTGTCTCGACATATTGTTCAGTCAGTCAATGATTCCAGTGTTCTAATTTTAAGTGTTTTAACGTTATTTCGATCCGTATTTTGTATTTAGTTTGTCGTTAAAAATATTTTAGTATATACTCGGTGGACAGTCATTTTGACTGTACAATAATTTAAAAAAAAATTTTTTTTATTTCTAATAGACGACAAATATATATGTTCTATATATATCACCGTATATATACTTATATATATTGCAAAGGATTATCTGCTGTGCTATATATGTATATTCGATTGGTACGTCCAAAAGGTCTTTTGTAAAATAATGTAGTTGCATTATTAGTCCAAGTATGTACTTAATATTCCGATATTTTAATAATTTTTGAACTTAAACGTCCATTTTATTGTTAATTGTAATAATAATAATAATAAAACGATAAAAAAAAATATTCAAGAGTAAATAATATTAATGGTTTCATGTTATGACTACGAAAATTAATTTATATCGGAATAATGTGTGACACCCATGTTGAATCGGTCAGAATTTTTTTGCAAGCACAAAAAGCAACACTTTACCCCTTTGACTATTCTCAATATTCTATTGCATTGCTTTGATTTCCCTTGACTCTTTATGTTGAACTTGGTATTTCTATTGCGGCTAGTTTTCATTTCAAATACACGGAATTAAGGGAACTGTTGTATAATATTTTATAATTTCATTTCGTAACTAAGCGCTTTACTACTTTGCATAAGACAATAATATTTATARCCCGTGTAAGCATATATTTCACACTTTTTCCTAATTAACTACATTGAATTTACAAACTTTCTCTCTACATTTTCAACTTTTGAATTAGAATGTGAAAATGTAAATATAAATAATATACGATATACATATATCGTATACCAACTTTTCATTTTATCTCTCTTTACGTATTCACAAATWTCGAGACATAATAATATATAATTCTTTGATTTCATTACGTCAGTCGCACGACAAATTGGTGATTTCACGTGGTTAAAAAAAAGCTTAATGATSGAAAAAGTAAAACAAAATCCGCTTTTTAAGCAGTTTAAGAATTTAATCCCCCAGTCTTTTCGTAATAAAATTTTAATTTCGCTACGATTTTCATTTAAAAAGGCCACATTATTACGCTACAGATAACTGTTGCTATTATGATGCATTTAAAAAGTTTGAATTCATAATTTTCTGTTTGAACAACTTTAAAACGGATTGAAACCGGCAAGCGGACGATTAAATGCAAATTGTAAACAAATAAAAAAAATCGAGCTTATAAACTAAAAATAATTCAAAAAATAAGACGTCATATGCCAATATTAACAAATCATAATTGATTACTTTACATCATGACATGTTTTCAGTGTATATAATAAGCATATCTAACTCCAACAATATACAGAGGAAGTAATAATAAGTAACACAARTTATGTAAGAAATTAAAATTTGTGGATATATCGTCGCCGCGAAATTTATGTGATGTGCTCGTTGTTTGTAGGTCTTTGTCGTGATCGTCTCATGGCTACGTGGTTCGGTGAATTTTCAATGCAACCATGCTGCTCAACATTATAAGCAACACTTGCACTACCAACAATGTTATCCCCCCCTAAGTCACTCATTTGCCGAATATCCCGAATATTAGCATCGTTTGGTATTAAGTTGATGTCATCGTGGTGGTCGTTGCTGTCATTGTCGTTGTTATCTTCAGAGTGCGACGTACTAAGCCAATCAGAGGAACTGCAACTGCCGCTCTCGCCTGTCGACAGTTTAAGACTACTAGAAAAGTTCACCGAAGCCGATACCGACATTGACGTCGATTCGACTGCCGATGAATTGATATTCTGACTGTGGTTATTACATTCGAGATTACGATGTCATCTGCTAGCCCCAATTAAAGAGACAAAATCATCATCTGCCTCGGGAATGCTGTCGGARTGCCCACCTATATTTCGTGCTTGCAAGAAACTATTGCCACTGGGTACAGGGGCCCCATATAATTGCTGTGGTGAGTATTCTTGTGTGTGCACTTCCCGTTTCTGTATATTTATACCGAAATTGGAATGCGTTCCAGCGGTTGTTATGTTGGTGGCTGTCGACGTTTTAGTTGATGCGCTGTGCGGTGCACGGTTGCCTGCTAAGTGGATGTGAGATGTAGAATCAGTGGTTATTGCGACCTCGCCAACAGGCAATAAAAGATTATCAGTAGCTCCGTAGCGATTGGCTTTAACCAATGGTTTACTAGCGAAATTCGTATAATATTTGTTTCTATTACCTTTTTGTATAACAGCGCCACCTCCGCCAACTATCATTACATCGCCGATCATAGAACTTGTTGTGGGCATGTCACTAACTATACCGTCTGTAGTGCTATCACCATCTTCTCGCTTACTCATCAAATATTCCGTTTCACTACTGGAACGGCGGGGTCCACGAGAGAGAGGCTGGTATGTGCTTCGACCTTGAAAATGTCGACTAATCGAACTACTTACTACTCCTAGATGCTCCGTCACATCTTGCTGCATATCCGATATGTCCATCATTGAGAGGAACGCACGGCACCAATTATGATTTGGATTATTCCAGTATTGAGGCGAATTGATATGAAACGGATAGTGCGGGAAACTGTAAATATGGGCTACTGCGGCTAGGAACATTTCAATGCAAATCAGAAAATTCTAAAATAAAAAATAAAGTTTTGATTATTCTCACGTAGCGAATTGAAAAGGAGATTACACAATGTCACTTATATTAAATTGCGTAAACTGGTAGAATATTTGTGTTTTATTTAAGAATGTAGCATGCTAGTACCCTTCGACGTATTTCCTCTTTGCCAATTATATTGGTTTATGAAACATAACATTTTAAATTTATTCATTTATTAGAAGAGAAAGACTAATCGAATAATAATTTTTATGTATTGGAACGACACAGGATAGTCAATTTGCCGGGGTGGAGGAAATGTCCCCTGGACTTGTGAGAGTTCCAGACTTTAAAGGTCTGTAAGAATATTCTATTTACATGTTTCACAAAGGTGAACTTTTTCACAATTAAAATTCCCAGAATATTGTTATCCGCAACTTCTTATAAATTCTGGATGTTGAGTTTATATGTACTATATATCCAAAGAAATTGTTCAGATCGAACCATTATAGCATAAAACGGACCGATCAAAATCAAGTCGTTGTATGGGAAATTTTATATTTGTGATTTTCTTCTTTTATGTATATGTTTAAAATGAYCATATCAATAGTCTAGTAACCTTTTTTATTACAAAGTTTTAGTTGTAATTTAAATTTCGCAATAACTTTGGCAGGGTTTTGTAAAAAAAATCATACGTGAAATAAATATGTATATGAGAAGGCTAATTTTAATTTTGCAACTCACTATATGACATTCGTATAATACGCATACCTGCAGCATTGACGCCAAATTCGTATTATCTCCAAGTGTGATTATTTTCTGTAAAAGTTGATAATAGCCTAATAAAAATAATATTACACCTTGGCTGCAAAGAAAAAAGTGAGAAATTTAATAAATAAAATAGAGTAATAAAAGAACTTACAAAAACGAGAAGAAAACGACTGCTTTGATACAAAGGAACTTGGGTATCGGTTTCATTGGTTTCAAATCCTCCTGTAAAAAAAAAAAATATATATATATGGAAAAATCATTGCCATGCAAATATTTCGATATATTATATTTATATATTGTTACTAACTTTATTTGCTCTATAAAATAGTACTAAGCAATACATAGCCACAAACTGTGAAATGTTGTTAATAACTACGATGTAGGGGAATGCCACATTTCCAGCAAATGTGCCTTCTCCATAGACACCACATATCTCGCAAATACTAGAAAAATATGTAAATAAATACTTGGTATTAGTTCTCAAATTAACTTGTAATATTATTGTTATACATTAACAAAGTTCATATCTATTCACTCATATGTATAAGAGAGCATAAAATTAAGCAAAATCAATCATTTCTTAATTAACTAATACTTACACAGAAATAAAGGCGGTAATAGGCCGAACAACGGTATATTGAAGAATACCATGTTTGCAATTATGTATAAACTCGCGACCCATTACCCAAGGCCGCATACAACAAAGTGGGAAGAAATGATACACCTGAGGTTTATACTGCATCGTTGCTTCTAGGTCCATACCCAAATTGAGATAGTGTAATAGGTAGACCATAAAGTTGTAAATCACATAAGCTTCGTAACATTCACGAAGAGAGTCTACATATACGGAATGCTTTGGTAAAAACAGACCTATCCACTGCAAAATAGTTAAACAAATTATAAATTATAACAAATATAAATTTATAAATATAAGCTCACCGCATTTAGAGCATATATTGGAACCATCCATAAAATTCTAATAATGTGCTTCTGCAAAATCGGTTTTGTAAAGTGTATGACATGTTGAATAATGTGCCAAATAGAAATTGGTACCGCTGATAATACAAATAGACCACCAATAAGTATAAGCTGGTCATTGCGCTTGAAGCCATCCTTTACAGAATTTACAATAAGCAGGGGAACCACGATAATTAAAAATATACAGTACGTAACGATTAGAAGTGGTCGTATCCAGATACGCCACTCCTCACAAAAACGTCTCAGATTTATGGGGCACATTTAATTAAGAACTTAATAATTTCTACAATTAGATACAATTTTTAAAATGTTAAGGTATTAATTTTTACAGTTCAAAAGTCCCAGAATAAAATTTTCTATCTGAATCGTAATCGAGTTGGCATCTGCCGATTGGGCATTATAGCCCAATTTAAAAATTTTTAGTTTCAGACGGAGAATACTTTATACCACTTATATTTGAGAACATATTCACTTCACAAAGGTATTAATACTTCAAACTTTTTTCTAATAAATTGTATCCACACGATTTTAATAAATTTTAATATTCATAAATATACTTAGGATCTATGAAAACAATCTCAACATAAGTATGTACATTTGCAAATGATATGCACGGACAACAACAAAAACTGCTAAAATTTTACAAAGTTTTGTGTCAATAATGGTCTAAAAAACACCTCTGATTTGTTGACTAACCCCGCCGTTACACGTTCAAGAATTTCCTTTCAAGTTGCAATACACACACTTTTATACTGCCACATTCTAACTTTTCCATATTTTCCATTAATTTCAAGTTAACAGCCTTAAAGCACTATTGTGTTCTCACAAAAATCTACACCCCCACTATTATCAGGTTGTTGTTATTTGTGAAGTTTCCCGTATGCTGAGATAATTTCAAAAGCACAAATACTCACATTTACCTTAAAAAACTTTGATGTGTAAAAGCAAACATCACAATACAAAATCGGTTGTGTTTGTTCTGATTATTTCAATATTTTTAAAGAATTTTGCAATTATTTTATTGAAATTCTGGTGCTGATGCTATTATAAAATTTACCCTGCAAATGAAATACATTTGGTGCATATTTAATAATTTCACCTTTTTTAGGTTTTTAAAATATGAAAGTTAAACTCAGGAGCAACTGCAACATTGTATTATTTAACCATAAATATGCATAAACAAAACTATCTTTTTATTCGTACATACATACATATATAAATACAAATAAAATATTATGTCCAAATTATTTAAATATAAACATATGTGTATATGTATGTCTATTTATTCATACTTAGAAGGAAGTAAATTGTACAAACACCCTAAGTTACATATTTATTGTAAWACACATATACTTATATTTATAATAGATACCGTCTTTGGAAGAATAGTTCCTTAATTCTAATTTAATGAAATATATGAAAAATTCTTTGAAAATGTTCAAATTATCAAARCAAACACATTTAATTTAGTACTATGAGATTTGCTTCATACATCACAAATTTGTGACCTCACAAGTAACAAAAGCCTCACAATAGTGAGGGTGAGTTTAAGACTAAACCTATAACCTATAAAAAACGTATGGTCAAATATTAAAATACACACGTTCTCATGGACACACTTATTTTGACAGATGACGGACTACACGACTGCAGGTCGACAGTTATAACTTCAATATATTTTTATATTTGCCAACGACAGTAGAGTTCACAGTAGAGAGATGAGGTAGAGTGGTGATGCCACTAATATGTAAAATATAAAATTATTCAAAGCTCTAATAAACCTGACSTTACTTTACAAATAAAAGCATAAAATAGCYGTATTATATCATTTGTAATAACAATTCATAATTTAAAACAAATAAATTTACATATTTATTTATTTTTGCATAAAAAATTTCACTTCGCACAAAATATTAAAATTTCATTGAAGTGCAAGGTATTAGTATGGCCACAACGAAATTGTGAACATGCAAAATGGACAGCTGTGTTCTCTTGTGTACATGCCGGCCAATGTTATGTTCCTGCCTTCTCACAAATGTTTATGTAGAAGGATTCACAACGCCATTTTCAGTTCATTGTAGTGCTGCTGCAGTCTGTCACGCTCATTGTGTTCAGCACATAACACTTACACATGTAAAGCACAAGCACATAACACAAGTGCGTTCGATCGGTATGTGTGCGCATGCGGTTTACTCGTGTATGGGCTTGTGCGCGTACCGATCCATGTTCGCGAAATTGTTTGAATTTTTACGATCGGTGTGCGCACATGTGTGTCGTATACGGCGTTGTGTGTGCACAAAACCTCATTTCTCTCGTGCCGCCGAACAGTGAAGATCGCGGACGAACATTGCAAGTGTTAAGGGTGTYCAATGCTTTAGAGGCTTCAAAAATCAATTTTTTTGAGGATTGTTTTTGGGATGGAAAGAAATAATCGATTCAAGGCTTTATAGTTATATATTTGAAAATCTTTCACAAATTTTTAGGATACGAAATGTTTGATATTCTGCCTTTGGGAAGCAATTGCCCGATGCGTCTCGAATGTGCATTTTTTGGACGGCGGGCAGGATACAGGTCGTAATTTCTATCGAAAACAAAAAATTCAAAGAGATTATTATCTTTTTAAATAACTTATCTTCTAGTTAAACTAGGAAAATTCGAAAAAAGAGTGTAAAATTTTTCAAATTCAAGTGGTTTTTGACCAAAAAAATTGTACTTTATGTTGTTTAAAAATATGTTCAAACTTGACTTTTCTTAATTTTTTTTACTTTACATAGAAGATAATTTTATGCCAATGATAATAAATTTTGTCCTAATTCCATACGACGTTTGGTTTTTTTCTATCCTGCCCGCCAATTAAGAATAATCGTAAAAATTAAAAACCGACAAATCGCGCTTTAAAGTTTTCTCCTTTTGCCCAAGCGCTCATATATCTGCTAGGCGCTCGGTCACCATGTCCGTTATAGCTTCGATAATATTTCGAATTCCACTCTATAACTTTGGGGAAATATTGTTAGATAATTTTTAAAGAGATTTAAACAAAAAAAAAAAAACGATGATTGAAGCTTCTAAAACAGGCTCCCTCATTAATAAAGATTTGGTATCAGAATTTATTGATCTTATAAAAAATGAATTGGCAATTTGGCAAACGAAAAGTGATAAATATAAAAATATAATTGAGAAAAATAAAAGTTAGAATAACTTATTAACGAAATGCAAAGAAATAGATAAAAGTGCTACATTAGAAATAAATTCGAAGAAATATTCCGCTTGTCTGTCGCACATGTTCACTGTGTGAAGAACGAACGCAAAATGGATTTGTGTGGCATATATGGGGAACGGGGATGGGCCCTTTTAGGCATGGATTCAAACAAACGTTGAAGATAATTTTTATATTTTTATTAATTTCTTCATTCCACRTAGTTTCAGTAATTTTTTTTAATTTCTTACAGACTTTCTGGACGTTTTTCTCTTATCCTTTTGTCCATATAATGGCAGCAGTTCTCAACTGGATTGAGATCTGTTTCCTGGCCACATGAGAGATTTAATTCCATAAAAATCTTAATGTTTTGTAACCTGTACGTGTATGTAATGAATTATTGAAAAATGTATTTCAATATTTTTAAGCTTTAGTTAAAGTTTTGGCTTTATGGGAAGGGGGTGAATGATCCTGAAAATAAATTATTTGGGTGTGTTCGGAGAGCTGTTCAATAGTTGGCTAAAATTCATAGATCTTTTTACAATAATAAGCTGCCCWACACCAAACTTGGTTACAGCCCGTCACTCTATTAAAAAGAATAACATTTCTCCAATCTAATGTAGTCCAAGTGTGATTTTGCTCACTCTAGTCGCTGTTTCTTCATTCGTGTAATGAGTAGTAGCTTTTTCTCTTTACGTCGCACTCGTAATCCAAGATTATTCTGGACATTTTGAACAGAATAATGAATTAAAATTCGTATAATTTTTAATTATATTGCGCACGCTACATTCACTTATTCCCATTTTACGACTTAACTTTACTTGTTTTCAAAACTTACTTAAAAGAAAATACCGCAAATACCGAAATAAACATGCGCGGAGGCTAATGATTTTAGAAATAACGATAAACTAATGAACTCACATAACAAAAACACCAAATAGTGAATTTTGASCAAATAGTGACAACGTGGGTTTTTTTCGACGAGTGTATATCTTATTCTGAAGTCATTCCTCATTTGGACAAAAATCTTGAAATTATAATTTCATATTCATTCATACACACATATGTAGTTCTAAATTTTTTTTATAAGTATTTACAGTTCATCTTAAAAAACGCATAGTTTATCTTTAGTTTTTCGTGAAACTTGTTCCTTAGAAAGAATAGTTTCCTCCTTTTGTAAAGCTTTTAATTCCTGTGCTTTAATTTGCAATTGTTGTTGAGTCCGTTTGTATAGGTCTGAGCCGACAGAGTTACGAACCATTGATTGGCGTAACTTCGCAATTTCTCGCTCTTTTCGTCGTATACCGTCCGAAATGCGCACACTTGCTACATTTAACGATTTGGTGGTTTCGTTACTTAGTGTTACATTTTTCACTGCTTTCCTTATTTCAGTTCCTCCACCCAATATATTATCATTAATAAATGAAAATACATTTGTTCGCTGTAATTCTCGTTCATACGATTTCGCATTAATCTTTTCCCGTTTTTTCTTTTGACGTTGCAGTTTTTTCTCTATACTGAAAAAGTCTTTATCTCCGTTAGCTGCTTCGCGTAACTCCATACAATGATCAAGTGAGCAGCCTTGAGGTAATATTTGTGCTGTAACAGGTATGACAATACCACTTCCGTCTGAGCCTAATCCAGAACCGTGAACATATCCCATTTTCGCCATTATTTTAGATGCGACACCCTATTTAATACATACATATAGATAAGAATGTTATATATAGTTTCATTTMCTACCCGCGTGTGTTTTTCCCACTCGCCAAGTTGTTGTGTTGGTTTATATTCAAACAATCTTTGTTCTATTAAATTTTCTTGCCTTATGTTTTTTATATCTCCTGAATCTTCTAATTCTCCCAATTCGGTGGAATATTCGCTCGAGCTTCCGCTGGATAAATCATCATCTGTTCATTTAAAAAAGTTACATTAATTTTTAATCCATACTATCTGTGTCTTAAAAGTATTACAAACCATGAAATATTGGTAGCAAATCTTCAAAGGGRAAATCCCTTTCTCTTTTATCATCGTTTTTATCAAGAAGTACCCGGCATGATTGATCTATAAAATTAGCGCAAAGTACACGACCTTTATGCCAAAGGCGATTTGGCAATTTTGCAAGCACAACGCAATTGCGAGCAAGTCGAGTAAAATCTGGCTCAGTATATTCACCCAATTTTTCGACATCTATAAGTTCGCCATGGGAATAGTGACACTGTGCATCGTCAAATCGGCAGTCTCCTTCCAGGTAGAATGAACAAGGCAACATTTCACGATGAGTAGGATTAGTAAACAAGACTCGTAAGCGAGCTTTTAATTGACCATTACTATCCATATATGCCGTATCTTCAATTCCACAGACTATGGCATTATGGTAACTAATTGCACCCCAGGTATGCTCATGAGGT